CTACAGAGTCGTGCTGCTTTATCCCTGGTTAGCAACTAAGAAAATAAATGTTTCACTTTCTTCTGCAACCTAAGATATAATGTTGACAGTGTCAGTCAAGATTAATTTATTCTACTGCCTCTGGACTGAGAGGAGCTCAGAAAGAGTTCTTTAATGAACACAAAGCTAGAGTGAGAACATGGTAACCACATTTTACTCACAGATTTTTTTTCCACGCTGGGCAATATGTAAAATCTCCTAAACCACTTTATTGTAGGTGTGATTTGTCAAAGTTCCACTTTATACAATGCCAGGGTTTTATTGGGCCTATGGAATGTGTGAGCAGGTGTAAAAGTGGTAAGGCAGCCTCCACAAACATATATACATAGCAACTGTCACAACAGATCCTGTAATATGGGAAGAGAGGAGTGCTGACTGGATCCCAAACGGGAGGAGCATGACCACAGGGTATCCCAAAACAGCTCACCAGTCCAAAACATATATGGTCATGTATTTCTAATGCCCCTGCTACTGTCATAGTGGCACATGCTTCAGATCGCATCTGTAACAAGCAGATCTCTGAATCACTTTGACAAACATTCATTTGATCAATGGCCAGGCACTATGCTAGCCCGTTTCTTTTCTTCATGCTGTAAATATTCATCAGACATGCCAAACACTGTGTTCAGCTTTTCTTTAAAGATACAGGTTAATAAAGTATGGCCCAGTTTTCAAGGACTCACTCTGAGCAGGGCACACAGACACTCAGACGCCTCACACCACTATGTCAGACCTGTCTCCAAGAACACAGAGGCACTCAAATGCAGCAGAAGTGCTGCAAATTCTGTGTGAAGAGCATTGCTACAAATAAACAGTTATCAAATGAAAAGTGAGCATAGGAATAACTTTTTTGTGACAGTCATGGGGGATACTAAGTTAGGATTCTTTGGCCCAAGGTTCTGATTTAAGAAGAGTAAAGCAGTTAAACTATGAATATAAGCTAAAAATCAGGAAGACTGATAATTTGATACTGGCTCTGATGGGCTGATAAAAACAGAAAGTCAATAGCAAGGAGGGATTTGTTCCTATGAGAGATTATTCTAACTAAAGAAAAGGAATGAAGAAAAAAAGATTTGCTAAAGATGTATTAAAAACTACTAATAAATAGCTAAAACTGTAAGATCGAATATTCACTAAATACGGAGTTGTAAATCCTAGAAAGGATTGGGGGAGGGTGTGTCTCCTGAGTCAGCATCAGGGACCACAAGGAAAAGGCTAACTAATTATTTCATGTGGAATTATTCTCAATTCAGTAATTTCAGGGAAGACAGTGTATTACTGTTTAAGGAAAACCACATACAGTTCACACTCCAGTATTTCCTCACATGATAATAGAACAGCCTACCCCTAGCTTGAGAGGGTACAGAACAATGGGAGGCAACAGAACAGACTTTTTAAAAAACAGATTAATCTATAAAAGGCAATAAATTAAAACAAACACGAGAGACAGACCACCCTGTGGTTCAGTTTCTTTATGCACAAGATGAAGATAAACACTTCCTGTCCCACAGGATTTCTGTGAGACTCAAGTAGCTTGTACATGTAGAATACCCAGGACTGTGCGTGACACAAGGTACAACGGAAGTATTCACAGCTGCTGCTCCTCGGGGTGAGCTGCCCACAAAATACAAATGAGAAAGCTGGAGCCGCAAGGCCACTGCCTGAGAGAAAGGCCCTAAGAGGAGGCCTCCCAGTCCTGCGCCGAGGGAGTGCTTCTCATTTCCCGAGGTCCTGCATCACTAGGGGACAGCCGGTGGTAGTAACAGTAAGTTCTGCTGCCAGGACTGAGGAGAGGCCACCCCTGTTGCCCACAGAACAGCAGCAAAGACAACAGCCATGAGCCTGGGGCTCACCAGTGGGACGAGCACTAGGATCCAGACTGTGGGCACTTGAATCTTGGGTGTTCGCAGAAGTCACAGGGGAGGGGTCCTGCCAGGGAAACAGCCCCAAGCAGTCTGTGGGACACCACCAGAGCCAAGTCCAACACAAAGGGACCAGCAGGAAACACTATGAATCCCTCTCACCGCAATTCTGAAGTCTGTGGAGCCCTCCATGTGAAATTCAGCATCTTAAAATGTGTTGTGTTGAACAAATCAATGTAATGCCTTTGAAACAAGTCCAAATAACCTTCCCAGAGCTGTCAAGTTACATTTCAAAAACCAGCACCATTTCAAATCACTAACTAAAACTTAGTTAATAGTTTGTCTTTGAAGGTTGCTATGATCTAAATTATTCAGGATGAAGCAAAGTATTCAATACTTCCCTATTAAAAAGTGAACAAGAGAAACATCCCAAATATCTTAATGCAATGTTACCAAACTTAGCATAAACCAAGTTTGCCTCGAGCATTTATTTTCCACAAGATCAGATAGTTATCAACAAAGAAACCAATATGCTGAGAAACAGTCCATTCAGAAAGTCAGTCAATATTCTGAGAAACGCAAATTGCCCAGTATCTATTCCTTGCCAGTTGTTTAGTAATAATCAATCATGATAATCTTGCCACTCGCCCGTCTACGTCTACTGGTCCCCCACCAGTGACTTTTTACAAATGGTCAGGCCCGTGCCAACTCGAGCCACTGGGATCCAATGTCATGGGGGATTCTGGGAAAGAAACTTCCTGGTTCTGAAGGCAGCATCGTGGGAAGTCCTTCCCCGTCACCCCTCCTAGGCATACATGGAAAGCAGAGTTTCTCCTACGACAGCCATTCTCCAGCCACAAGCATCAAGCTTCCCCAGGATGCCAGTACTTGGGCAGCAGAGCCAAGACGTACCTACCTCTCGACTTCCTCTTATACGAACTATCAAGTTTCCTCATGACTTAAATTGGTTTTATATTTGTACCCTAATGCATCCTAATCCACATATTTTGTTTTTTCCAAGCCTATTCCCACATGAGAATGTCATCTATTTCACTTAAAGGTTAGCCACAAAAAAAAAGTGTCCCACTTTAAACAAACTGATGCACATATCAGGCTCATTAAAATAACAGGTTTTATTTACAGTTAAGAATTTCCAATAACCTTCTTTAATAATTTCTGGACATGTTCCTTTTAATACTTATCAATGAAGTAGAAAATTAATAAAAACATTTAGAGACATCAAACTCAATTTGACATAAAATTTTAGGTATATAGTAGTATTATTTTTTAGAATATAAAAAAGTCAACTTGTTGGACCCTAAAATACTAGTCATACTACACTATTAAGCAACAATCAAAAGAACTTGTTAATACTTTTCACACAGTTGAGTTCAGCTTTTTAAAAAATCTTCAGAATGTGCTGCCAATGAGCCATACTATTCGGATATATAGAAAGAATGGATTGACTGTAACCCAGAGGGGCAAAAGTGGTTATTTTAACCATTAAACATGTTTCTGATTTCACTATGCTAGACAAACTGTTACAATACAATGTTTCCAATGAGCAGTGACTTAAAGAATAACAGCGAAAGTCAAAGTAATAAAAGGTCAGGAGTAAAGGACACAAACTGGAATAACAAGTTCCTGAAAAATGGAAAAGGGCAGAGGGAGGAACAAAGTAGACTCAGAAGTCTACATGGAAAGGCCTCAGTCTCTCTGACACTTGCACAGATCAGGTGACACAGGAAGTCAACTGATCCTTTTCTCAAGATCATGTCAGCATGCATTTAAAGTTAGGGTGAAACCACGTTTTCCAGAGGTTTACAAACACAAACACATCAGGAGAGCATTACTTCACAAGCCTTAGCTAACATTATGGTAGGTGTTTTGAAGATTTATTCACATCATAAATACACTACAGAATAGATTTAATTGGAGCTGAAAAAGTAAGGTATCCATGTGAGTCTTCGAAGAGAACTTGGTTAGGCCTGGAAGAATGTGAACAGACTAATTTTAATACACATAGAACGAAAGAGAACCTTTGTAATTGGAAAGAGCTCCCTACAACCGAGGCTCTCCCTGCCCAGGGACAAAGCTGACCACAGCTGTAGCTCACACAGGCCAGAAGTACAAGAGACCAGGCTGGTAGAACGGGAGTGTGTGACGTCCTACCTGGAATCAGACATGCCCGTCTCCCCACAGCCGGGCTGCGCTCCCTACTTTAAGGTGTGCAGCTCCAAACTGCTAAACTACCCTTGCTGGGAAATTTCTGGAGTGAAGCATGTCAGCAGACTTTCCAGCAAGCCTTTGGTGAGGACAACTTGCCTCTGACACCACACGATCCACACGTGTGCTCTCTAGGGTGTAAGTACGGCAAGTACAGTCATACACTGGGGGAGCCATGGAGACGTCACACCAGGACACAGTAACAAGGAAAAACGCAGGAGCAAACAGCCCTTAGTCTTTCCTACCACCTATCCCCACACCTACCCCACACATACATACATACATAGGACAAAAGTGAGGGGAAAACTGACAAAAATCACGATACTGAAGTGTTCTCGTCTTGAGGAAATTACATGGAACTGACAGTCAAGCACGTTCCAGTCACGTCACGCTCACTGTTCGCCTCCCTCTGGAAGCGCTATGCTTCTGGAGCAAATCCAAAAGAAGGGGCCACTCACTCTGCATTCGGGGAACATTCAAAGGGAACTGGTGTGGCTCCCACTTGTATTGGCAGGAAAATTTTCACTAATGTTTAGAAAAGGAGCTGAATTTTCAAAGACGAGTGGAAAGAAATGAAAAAGGTGTGCCCTTCCCCAAAAACTAGCTTTTAACTCTTAATGAAGGCAGAGCTGAGCTGTGAGCTTAATGGCCTTAACACATGCCTAAAACTTAAGCTGCACAGACAACATTTGTATTCCTCACGAATTAAAACGGAGAAGACCTAGCATCTATTTTATCACCCACAACATGAGATACAAGATGCAAAATAAATGCTCAGTATTATCATCCTGATACTACAGTGTTCCAGTAGTCTACAACACTAACATTTGTTTTGAAAGATTCTATCACTCTAAGAATCAATAAAACACATACCTTCATTTTCTGAGGCATGACATTTCACTTTCAATACCAAGTCAAAGGTTCTCTCTGGATTTTCCCTAAAAGAAAACAAACTTTGTTGTATTTATTTCTTATGACAAATAAATAAGCATCTTTTTAAAGTCTGTATTTTCTTAACTCTAAAAACTCATCTTATTCTTGTCTCAATTCCATGTAGATATATGAGCACAAGGCAGCAGAAAACCAAAGTTTTCTCAGCTCAGCAGTTTAAGAATGCCGAGGCTTATGAGTTCTGAGGCAAAACATTTAACCTCTAAGCCTGTTTTCTTACTTATAAAGTGTCTTGTTCACATCACAGAATAATTATGAGGATTATAAGTTAAGTAACATGTGTGGAAGTATTAAGTGTTGTAAAAATGTAAAGCATTGTCCTTATCGTACTGAATCAAAATTGGGAAGCCATCCATCCCCAACTGTTTCTAGCTTCCCTGCCAACAGAGCTGATTCTCTGGTTTCTTCAGAGGACTTGCAATGTGAGGGTGAAGGATGAGTATGCGGTTCCACCTGCCATGTTCCAGGTCACCACAAAAGTCAACGCTCCTTCAATGTGATAATCCTGCATACATTTTTCTTCTGATGGTATCACCTACCAATTATGTTTAAAGTGGCAAACTATATACAGACTCCAAGGCTAAAAAAAAAGCCTTGTTTTATGTCAATTATGGTTAGGGAAACGGGACATCTATCTCAAAATTAGATTTTCCCACTAGGAACAAATAAGGCTGTCTTGAGTCATTCATTTAATTTCTTTATTAAGTTCTCACACATTCAACCCATTCATTGGCTTAAAATGCAAGTTGAAACGTGTTGAGACACATTTTTTTAAAAAACATAGTTGTTTTAATCTTTTTGCCTTAAGATAAAAGATGAAGCAAAGTCTTGGAACACAACGTCCGCGTGACCAAAGTGTTAACATATTTGTTATTCCTGCTAAGACGACCTTAGCGTCTCTGTATCTTGGCTATTTTTAGCATGTACTTCCTTCAAGAAACTAGTGTCATTTACGGCTTCTAAATATTAACCTTTTAAAAATTTATTATAAGAATCTAAAACTGTAAGAAGTGACAAGCCACATAAGCTAATTTGTAAGTATACATTTCCTCAGCCCTCCGACTATTAATCTTGTTTCTATGGGAATAATAAGGACTGAAGTGACCTTATCCCTCATAATCCAGTTTACGTTAAAAAAAAGTACGTCTTTTTTAAATCATTTACCTCACCCCAAAGCCTCAGAGCCCCACCCATGCATGATGCCTGACACCGGAGAAACTAATTCTGAATCACGTCATTTTCCTAATATTCTTCAGAATCTCTCTTAAGCTTAGACATGAAATGCCGATCCAATTACACTGTGAAATTCAAAACGCCTTTCACGCTAATACAAATCTACACGATATGCATCATTTTTAGTAGGGGGAGGCGCGAGGGCCGGCGGGGGCGGGGGGCTCTTTGCAGAGAAAGTTTCGGCAAGAAAACGTAGGGCTCGTGCCCCTGGGACCCCGAAACAAAACCAGCAGGCTCCTTGCAACCGCCTTTACCCCGCAGCCCCCGCAGAACGGCCATTGCTGCGGACGCCCGACACGCTCTCCGGGGACCCGGGCGGCTCGGCGCGCGCAGCCCGCAGCCCGGGCGGTCCCGAGGGGAGGCGGGGGGGCGGCCTCCGCAGGCCGGCAGCGCCGGGACGGGGCGCGCAGCGCGGGCCGACGGCCCCGCCGCGCTCTGCGGCCTAGCGCCCGCTCACCTGGTCCTGCGGTCCATGGCTTCATGTCGGGCCGGTCCGTCCCGCGCCGCCCGCCGCCCGCCCGGCGGGAAGGCGGCTACGCGCGCGGCGGCTCCGTGTCGGCGGCGCCCGGCGCGTCCCCGCCCCTCGCGGCCTCTGCGACCGCGGCGCCCTCCGCCCTCCGCCGCCGGGCCGCGCCTCTGGGTTCCGGCGAGCGCGGCCGCCGCAGCCGCTCCGGCAGCGCCCGCGAACCAGGAAGTCGCCGGGGGGCGGGGCGCGCGCGGCCACCTCACCTGGGCCGCCGCCGCCGCCGGCCGCCTCGCCTGCGGAGGAGGCGCGCCGGGTCCCGCCCAGGCCGGGCGGGCCGCAGCCCCGCGACGCGGGCCCCGAAGCGCCGCCGCCCCCGCCCTGCGCACCTGCGGCCCCGGCTCCCGGCCGCGCTTCAGGGCTTTGGGGTGCGCGGCGCCGCCCGCACCTGC